CTTGAAAGCCCTTCTCTTTGGTCCAACCGTCCCATCGCTCCCATATAGTGGTGGCGTTATATTTAATACTATAGCCCCACGAGGGGTACGTGTCCTGCAGTAGTAGACGATACGCAACATCCGAGTGACCAAATTGGCTCAGAGTCGGGCACAAATGACCCACACCTAACGAAAATTGCAAACCGTAATGGTAAAACACTCACATATTGCCAAACATATTTATTAAAATGGGTGACAAACCTACAAAACCGGTGGTCAGATGATAATCATGTGCTTTAATATTGTCCACTAAATGATTTGCCGCCAATTGCTGCAGATTTTTGGGTAACATTTCAAATGCAATTGCGATCACATAATCAGTTTGAGTGTCGCCTTTCATACGACCGTCAGTTGTATTGACAAAAGCCTTCACAAAAGCGTTTGCGATATTTTGGTGGAGATCTCCATAACGTTTCACGTCTTGAGTCCGACCCAAGGCTTTGGCCATTTTGGACAGCAATAGGGCGTCGTATCCGTAGTAAGCGGTGGACAACACATCCTTCGGTGTGTCGGCATTCACTTGAAGCCAATCACCGAAATTGTTGTTCACTCTCTTCGTCCACAAGAAGTTCGGGTTCTGGCTCTCGATGTAAGTCATCCACAGTTTCATTGATTCATAATTGTCTTCAACAGTCTGTAGGTCTCCGTACTGTCGCCACACAGTATACGGCACTATAACACCGACATCACCCCAAGCGGGGGCTCCATCTGTCCCATCGGGACTCAAACGGGGCGCCACCTCTGGAAAGCCGCCCTCTTTGGACTGACTATCCCTTAAGTCACGCATCCATTTGGTGTAAAAGGCGGACACATCGGCGTTATAAGTGGCCGTATGGGCGAAGATCTCTGCGTCTCCCGTCCAGCCCAGCCTCTCGTCCCGTTGCGGACAGTCTGTCGGGACCGACAAAAAGTTTCCTTTTTGACCCCAATTGATGTTTGAGTACAACTGATTGACCATTTTGTTTGAGGTCTCAAAGTGTGATTTGAATGCTGTGTCTGAATGGATAACAATACCCTTAATGGCCGATAGCGGCGGTTCTCCCGGATATCCCGTGACCTCAACGTATCTGAAGCCATGAGTTGTGAAATGAGGCTCAAGTGATAGGTCTGTCGTACGGTTGGCCTCTGTTTATACAGTAGTCGAAAGTAATTAAATAATTTGTATTATGTATTTTGTGTTTATTATACGGTACATAAATTCAACCCTTTATTACTTACTATTTAAGACATAGGTATCGGTGGCCAAAGCCGAGCGCAGATTTAGTACATAAATAGTTCCGTTAGGGTTGAGCGCCTCGGCGTGTCTTAACTGCACACGACTCGCGTCATATGCTTTAGGCATTTGGATTTGAACCCAACCGACCATATTCTGGTCAAAATCAAATACCCAAACACCGGGTTGACTCTCGTGTTTAGTCTTAGGCTCGAGCACTTGTGTCGCCCGAACCGGTTCAGCTCTATCGGCCACGAGAGCCACGTTCTTGTCTATGGGATTAGTGACCACTGATAACCAGTGGCTGTCGTCGTACGTCGAGTTCCTCCACTTCTGCGGCTCTCGACTCTCGTAATACAATTCACCCATCAATAGGTCTGAGTATATGTAGGAACCGGTGCTTACTTTCCACGTGTTGTCCGACTTGACAACAGCCGTAGTCTTATCTTCGTATTCAATACGCAACTCAATCAATAAATTCTGATCCGTACCGAAGAGGTTGTATTGACCGAAGAAACTGACGTAACTGCTGTACCAACCCGTTCCCAGTAATACGCTTATGGTGTTAGTGGCCGTCAACTGGTAGGTCACATCATATGCCTGGTATTGAATAGTCTTGTGATAGTCAGTCCATCCCGGGTCCAGAATTGACTTGTTTATATCGCGGCCATTAATGGCCAACTTATACACGCCCTGCGCTGTGGCGTACAGTTTAGCCGATTTTACTTTTGAATTTGTTGTGAAACTTTTGCGAAGGTATAGCACCGGCACTAAACCGGGCTTTGATTTAATCAACTATTTTATTTAAAATATATAAAATTGATTATTTTCTATTAAACTATTAAATGACACAAATTAAAATCACATACCTTTGCATCAATATCTGCTATATTTTTGAGTGCCTGTTGTTGTGTGCCTTTGGGAGCACCGATCCATTGCGCCGTCCAATCACTCGCATCCAATCCTTTATCCCAGAAACCGATATGACCCGGATGTTTGTCGAGCACGCGGTCATTCTGATCCCATACATTCACTTTCCAATAGGCTCTCATCCCGGCCTTCAACGGAGTGCCGCCATATTTAATATGATTGGTCCGATCGCTCACTACTTTCTTACTGTCCCACAGATTACCGATGTTTTTGTCCAGACTTTGCCGATCTGTGGCCACAAGTATTTGATAAGCCTTTTGCGACAAATTCTGTTTCGTCTCATTCAGCGCCTGTAGTGTCCATTGAAGTCGGGGTTGAGTTATATCGACTGCCAATGGATTGACCAGATATTCAACTTTCAGATCTACGGCCTGTATATCAGAGTCGGCCAAAGATATCTGAAATACCAGACATTGTGTTAGAAATGTTGTAAAAATAATTGGTTTATTCATTATTATTATTATTAAATAAATAGTACAACCAATGACTTAATTAAGTAATTTTTAAGTTTAATTTATATCAAAATGAAATCAAAATAAATCTCGACATAAATTAATATTTGTGTAAAATATCTGAGTATTTAACACATGTTAATCGTAGTGTACTATCAGTAATATTGTGACAAAATACAAAAACAACTTTAAACCTTTGTTTCAATGATTTCTGTATTAACTAACGATAAAATTTATAAATTAAATCATTTAATTATTAAGTAATTTAGTGATTATTTAAAAGAAAACTATTCCATTGCATTGAATTGAACTAGATTGAATTAAATACAAGTATCTTATCATAATAAACGTTCTAGTTAATTTTAATATAAGAATTATCAATTTAAAATTTCACGTCAAATTGTCTTCAACCATATTTTTTAGTACAGTTATAAATATCAATTCGATAATTATAATTTATATTTAACAAGTACAATTTAATAGTCAAAGTATAATGTAAAGTTTAGTACAAATGATATATAATAGTTCACTTAACAGCACAAAACAAATACAATATAAGATATGCTTGATCATTATTTGGGAGTGTTTTCTATCATATTAGGTAAAATTTATAAATTGTATTAAAACTGTTTTATTTTTGAGTTTGAATACAATGTTTGCAAATTCTGTACGATAACTAGTGTGACCAAATATAAATTTTTAAATAGAGTATCACAGTATAGAAAATATAATAATTATGATTCTATTTTAAAACATAATTATTATATTTTAATGATTTTAAATTTTGATTATGGATACAAAACAAAATTTATTATTATTGTTTATAAACGTGTGTTTTAGGATCTGTTTAATTAGTTTTACAAAAGTCAATAAACCGTATGTAAATAATATCTACAAAATGTATTTTATATAATTAGGAACTATTCATTTGAATGCATTTTATTACACAAAATAACATTTATCACCCCTTTAACATTTTGCTAATTCTATCTAATATAACATAATTCAATATTTCACCGATGTAATCATTAAACTAAAAAGTTTTAAAAGTTAAAAGTTATTAAACTTCTAAGGTTATTATTAGGATATAGTGTAACAATTGCATTTCATAAATGAGACTCGGTAAAACCTCAATTTAGTGGTCAAATTTAACCGAAAATTTTTGAATGATGATTTGATGTGAAAGAGTATTTAATGAGTGACAAAACAATGGCATTCATTTGTCTGTATGTCTTGTGGTCCAGAAGTAATCCTCTCCCGAAGAAGTTCACTCCCGAAATAGCTTTGGCACAATGACCATGGCACTTTTTTAAAAAGAGATAGTAAATTGTCACTCAATAAATACTCTTTTAAATCAAACTATCGTTTAAAAATTTTCGGTTAAATTTGACCACTAAATTGAGGTTTTACCGAGTCTCATTTATGAAATGCAATTGTTATATGTGTACATATTTACAAAAATGATATAATCAAACATTTATGTTTAAAATATTTATTTTATTTCATATTAAACATTATTTAAGTAAATTAATACACGTTATAAACAGACAATTAACTTATTCAAAAATGTTTTGCCAACTCTCCGGTGTAGACATACCTACCGGAGCCCACATTTTCGACGGCAGCGCTTTTCAAGAAAGTTAAATCAATCACCGCTTTTGTATTGACCGGTATATCAATCTATCATTTAAAATATAAATAAATCATTAATTCATAATTACAAAACTTATATAAAATAAATGTTTCAAAACTAACCGTTAAAGTAATATTAACGCCATTTGTTTCCCACGCACTGCCTATCAGACCATTAATGGACGGGTAGTGGGCTTTCACTGACGTCAGACCGGCGGCCGGTTTCGGTGCGATTATAATCAACTTAAAGCCCACCTTTTCGTTGTCGGTGTCAATACCGGCCACCGATTGGTAGAGCCATCGACCGACTGATCCCAGAGAGTAGTGATTGAACGAGTTCATGCCAGGGTCTTGAAAGCCCTTCTCTTTGGTCCAACCGTCCCATCGCTCCCATATAGTGGTGGCGTTATATTTAATACTATAGCCCCACGAGGGGTACGTGTCCTGCAGTAGTAGACGATACGCCACATCTGAGTGACCGAATTGGCTGAGTGTCGGACACAGATGGCCAACACCTATTGTACAATTAACATAATGGTAAAACATGTGTAAATGTAAAACATAAATGTTAAACATGCTTATTAAAAAGTGTAACAAACCTACGAAACCAGTAGTCAAATGATAGTCATGTGCTTTAATATTGTCCACCAAATGTTGTGCGGCCAACGGTTGCAGATTTTTGGGTAACATTTCAAATGCAATTGCGATCACATAATCAGTTTGAGTGTCGCCTTTCATACGACCGTCAGTTGTGTTGACAAAAGCCTTCACAAAAGCGTTTGCGATATTTTGGTGGAGATCTCCATAACGTTTCGCGTCTTGAGTGAAGTCCAAGGCTTTTGCCATTTTGGACAGCAATAGGGCGTCGTATCCGTAGTAAGCGGTGGACAGGATCTCCTTCGGTGTGTCGGCATTCACTTGAAGCCAATCACCAAAATTGTTATTCACTCTCTTTGTCCACAAGAAGTTCGGGTTCTGGCTCTCGATGTAAGTCATCCACCGTTTCATTGACTCGTAATTTTCTTTAATGATCTCCAGATCTCCGTACTGTCGCCACACAGTATACGGCACTATAACACCGAAGTCCACAAGAAGTTCGGGTTCTGGCTCTCGATGTAAGTCATCCACCGTTTCATTGACTCGTAATTTTCTTTAATGATCTCCAGATCTCCGTACTGTCGCCACACAGTATACGGCACTATAACACCGACATCACCCCAAGCGGGGGACCCATCGGCCCCATCGACTACACGGGGCGCTACGTCAGGAAAGCCACCTTCTTTTGACTGTCCGTCCCGTAAATCACGCATCCATTTGGTGTAAAAGGCGGACACATCGGCGTTATAAGTGGCCGTTTGAGCGAAGATCTCCGCGTCTCCCGTCCAGCCCAGCCTCTCGTCCCGTTGCGGACAGTCTGTCGGGACGGACAGGAAGTTTCCTCTTTGACCCCAATTAATGTTTGAATGCAATTTATTGACCATTTTATTTGATGTTTCAAAGTGTGATTTAAAAGCTGTGTCTGAGTGCATGACAATACCCTTAATGGCTGTCAGCGGCGGTTCTCCCGGATATCCCGTTATCTCAACATATCTGAAGCCATGGGTTGTGAAATGAGGCTCAAGTGATAGCTCTGTTGGACGATTGGCCTCTATTTAAACGGATCATAAATTTGTTAATTTGTTAATTATGTATTTAATGGCAATTTATAAGTATACTCATATCAATCATGTAATGATTAGACACTTACTGTTTAAAACATAGGTATCGGTGGCCAAAGCCGAGCGCAGGTTTAGTGTATAAATAGTGCCGTCGGGGTTGAGTACTTCGGCGTGTCTTAACTGCACACGACTGGCCTCATAGGCTTTGGGCAAATTGAGTTGAACCCATCCGACCATATTCTGTTCAAAGTCAAATATCCAAACACCAGGTTTAACCTGGCGTTTGTTCTTAGGCTCCAAGGTTTGAGTCACCCGAACCGGTTCAGCCCTATCGGCCACGAGAGCTACGTTTTTGTCTATTGGTTTAGTGACCACTGATGGCCAGTGGCTGTCATCAAACGCTGAATCCCTCCAGTTCTGCGGCTCTCGACTCTCGTAATACAATTCACCCATCAATAGGTCTGAGTATATGTAAGAACCGGTGTTTACTTTCCATGTGTTGTCCGACTTGACAACAGCCGTAGTCTTGTCTTCGTATTCAATCCGCAACTCAACCAATAGATTCTGATCCCAACCAAAAATGTTGTACTGATGGGAAAAACCAACGTAACTACCGAACCAACCCGTGCCCAACAGTACGCTTATGGCACTTTTGCCGACCGCCGCCAACTGATCGGTCACGTCATAGGCTTGATATTGAATGGTTTTATTATAGTCAGTCCATCCCGGGTCCAGAACTGATTTGTTGATATCGCGGCCATTAATGGCCAACTTGTAGGCGCCCTGTGCTGTAGCGTACAGTTTAGCCGATTTTACTTTTGAATTTGTTGTAAAACTTTTGCGGAGGTATAGCACCGGCACTAAACCGGGCTTTGATTTAATCAACTATTTTTGATAAAAAATAACAAAGTTAATTACTTTTAAATTAAATTAAATCAATTTAAACTACATACATTTGCGTCAATATCTGCGAGATTTTTGAGTGCCTGTTGTTGTGTGCCTTTGGGAGCGCCGATCCATTGCGCCGTCCAATCACTCGCATCCAATCCTTTATCCCAGAAGCCGATATGACCCGGATGTTTGTCGAGCACGCGGTCATTCTGATCCCATACATTCACTTTCCAATAGGCTCTCATCCCGGCCTTCAACGGAGTGCCGCCGTATTTAATATGATTGGTCCGATCGCTCACCACTTTTTTACTGTCCCACAGATTACCGATGTTTTTGTCCAGACTTTGCCGATCTGTGGCCACAAGTATTTGATAAGCCTTTTGCGACAAATCCTTCTTTGTTTCGTTCAGCGCCTGTAGTGTCCATTGAAGTCGGGGTTGAGTTATATCGACTGAAAATGGATTGACGAGATATTCAACTTTCAGATCTACGGCCTGTATATCAGAGTCGGCCAAAGCTCTCGTGAATACCAGACATTGTATGAGAAATGCTGTGAAAATAATTGATTTATTCATTATTAATATTATTGAATTAATAATACAGACAATGAATACAAACAATAACTTAATTAAGCAATTATTGCTCTAATTTATATAAAAATGTAATCAAAATAAATCTCAACATAAATCCCTAATTGTGTGAAATAGTTGTATTGTTACCATGTGTTAATCGTATAACATTTTATCAGTAATATTGTGACCAAAGTTAAAAACAACTTCAGTTTAAGCCTCAGTTTCAATGATTTCTCTATTAATTATCAATAATTATCAATAAAAATACTTTTTATGATTTGTAAGGAATTTATAAATCAAATTATTTAATTATTAAAGGATTTATTGTTCAAAATTATTCCATTGAATTGAATTGAACTGGATATTATTATCTTATTATGATTGTATGAGCACTTGTATGAGCACAAGCACATATTTTTCACATTTTATTATTAAATGATAAACGTCAAAAAAGTCAAATATTTTTTAGTGCAGTACTAATATCAATTCAATAATCATGTATCCATGAGGTTTAGTACAAGTATAAGTTACTTGATCATAGTTTACAAAAAGTTTTATATAATATTGTGCAACATATATAAATTGCATAAAAACTTTATTTTATCTCAGGTTTGAAGCAATGTTTGTCCAAATGCTGAGTACAAATAATATAATTTACTTATTTATTTATTCGTTTCTATCGTTTAACATTTTAACCAATAAATATTATATTATGTTATATAAACTAATTGTTATTATCGTTGCAATGATTTGTAAAAATAATTATAAATGTTTATACTATATATACTTTATCTATTGATTATCTATGATTTATTAATTGAATATAATGTTTTATATAATCGGCAACTAATGTCAAGTGGATTCATAAATCTAGAAATCATTAACACAAAGAGACTACTTTTAATTAAAATTAAATTTAATGTAAAGTATAGTTATTGTAAATAACTTACTTAATGCTGACATCAAATAATATGTTAAAAATATAAAACATAGACTACAAATTCTTTGCTATTTAATCACGGAATAATATAATGTGTTTTGCTTGACATTATATTTTGAGTATATTTAGTGTCACATAATATTTATTTATTCAGTCACCATAAAAGTTTCCATAACGTAATTATAATATATAGCAACATCACAAATGTTTTTAATACATGGTTAATCATTGAAATGCTCAAAAATGTGATAGATATCACGAATGTGTCGATTGAAAAGTGATAACAGATTTATAATGTAGTTAATTAATAGGATTTGTCAATCATTATAACTTTTCAAAAGGTGTTTACAAAAAATATAATATTTATTTTATTAATAATATTCAAAAATAATGATTATGGTACGTTAATTGCAATTTATAATTAATCTTATTTTAATTCAAAATGTTGTGCCAGTTCTCCAGTATAGACATACCTACCGGAGCCTACATTATGGACGGCAGGGTTTTTCATGAAAGCTAAATCAATCACCGCTTTTGTATTGACCGGTATATCAACCTATTGTTTATAACAGAAATAAATCATTTAACAATAAGTTACCAAATATTAAAATAAAAAGTCTGATAACATACAGTTAAAGTAATATTAACGCCATTTGTTTCCCACGCACTGCCTATCAGACCATTAATGGACGGGTAGTGGGCTTTCACTGACGTGAGACCGGCGGCCGGTTTCGGTGCGATTATAATCCGTTTGAATCCCACCTCTTCGTTGTCGGTGTCAATACCGGCCACCGATTGGTAGAGCCATCGACCGACTGATCCCAAAGAGTAGT